TGCATCCCAAACCCTGAGCATTCCCAGCTTTCCTGCATCCCAAACCCTGAGCATCATCCTGAGTATTCCCGGCTTTCCTGCATCCCAAACCCTGAGCATCCCCACCTTTCCTGCATCCCAAACCCTGAGCATCATCCTGAACGTTCCTGGCTTTCCTGTATCCCAAACCCTGAGCATTCCAGGCTTTCCTGCATCCCAAACCCTGAGCATCCCCAGCTTTCCTGCATCCCAAACCCTGAGCATTCCCAGTTTCCTGCATCCCAAACCCTGAGCATTCCCAGCTTTCCTGCATCCCAAACCCTGAGCATCATCCTGAGTATTCCCGGCTTTCCTGCATCCCAAACCCTGAGCATCCCCACCTTTCCTGCATCCCAAACCCTGAGCATCATCCTGAACGTTCCTGGCTTTCCTGTATCCCAAACCCTGAGCATTCCAGGCTTTCCTGCATCCCAAACCCTGAGCATCCCCAGCTTTCCTGCATTCCAAACCCTGAGCATTCCAGGCTTTCCTGCATCCCAAACCCTGAGCATCCCCAGCTTTCCTGCATCCCAAACCCTGAGCATCCCCAGCTTTCCTACATCCCAAACCCTGAACATCCCCAGCTTTCCTGCATCCCAAACCCTGAGCATTCCCAGTTTCCTGCATCCCAAACCCTGAGCATCATCCTGAGCATTCCCGGCTTTCCTGCATCCCAAACCCTGAGCATCCCCACCTTTCCTGCATCCCAAACCCTGAGCATCATCCTGAACGTTCCTGGCTTTCCTGTATCCCAAACCCTGAGCATTCCCAGTTTCCTGCATCCCAAAGCCCTGAGCATCCCCAGCTTTCCTGTATCCCAAACCCTGAGCATTCCCAGTTTCCTGCATCCCAAACCCCGAACATCCCCAGCTTTCCTGCATCCAAAACCCTGAGCATCATCCTGAACATCCCCATCTTTCCTGCATCCCAAACCCTGGGCATTCCCAGTTTCCTGCATTCCAAACCCCTGAGAATGTCCAGCATCCTACATCCCAAACCCTGAGCATCATCCTGAGCATGCCTGGCTTTCCTGCATCCCAAACCCTGAGCATTCCAGGCTTTCCTGCATCCCAAACCCTGAGCATCCCCAGCTTTCCTGCATCCCAAACCCTGAGCATTCCCACTTTCCTGCATCCCAAACCCTGAGCATCCCCAGCTTTCCTACATCCCAAACCCTGAACATCCCCAGCTTTCCTGCATCCCAAACCCTGAGCATCATCCTGAACGTTCCTGGCTTTCCTGCATCCCAAACCCTGAGCATCCCCACCTTTCCTGCATCCCAAACCCTGAGCATCATCCTGAACGTTCCTGGCTTTCCTGTATCCCAAACCCTGAGCATTCCCAGTTTCCTGCATCCC